TTTATAGCCTAGGAGCGATATGAGTAGTATTTCCCTGAGAGGTGAAATTAGGCACATCACTTAGTGTATATCTCCATAGAAAGACGCATGCCCCCTATGAGACTTGCCAAAAAGAAACCGGAAAATCATTTCAGTGAGCTATATTAGCAAATGCCACTATGGAGGTTGTCCTATATCCTTATGGAGATCACCAGGAAATATGGTATTTGTCTTGAATATTGCTAGACGTTTTGTATATATCGTGCAAAGCATAGTTCTTATTGCAATAACACTGGCATCTCCAACATCTACTTTGAGTTCTCCAACATTGTTCATTTTTCGAATATGGGAAGTTTTATAAGAGAAAAAAAAACTTGAGATATAGTAGTTGGTATGTTAATTGTGTTAAGTGCTTGAGTTATTGATTGTAGCAGCCGTTGGTATGCAAATCTTCGGAGGCTCGTTTACATTTGTCATAGGCACAACGCTTTTTATGAAAAAAGCTAAGAATAGAATCCTCATAAGTTAACCGCTAAGAAAATCATATGATGGATGACACCTATGAAGTTCCGATAGGATTGATTCTTGATGTCATACATTTCTCTAAGAACCTAGTTCAACCTAACATTACTTCCTACTCCAGACACGAATACTCTACTTTTTTGAGTACAGCTTCATCGTGATCAGGATAATTCCGAGGTACCCCGTCCAATGGTTTACAAATAATCAATCTTTGTCTTTGATTAGTAAGACAATAAAACCTAGTTCGACAATTCCTAGCAGTAAAAATAAAGTCGTCATTTTTCAATGGTACATCAAAGACTTCTCCCAACAACAATTATTTCTCCTTATAAATTTGCCTTGAGGATCAATATTCATCTCCTATTATCTCGGAACAGAGTGAAAGTTTCATGGTTTTTGTTCGAGAAAATAAAAGTCGGACAATATAATAGTAGATAGGCTGAAGAAAAATCATTGATCGATAGGAACGGAAATAACGACAAGAATGATTCATCAACAGGCATCGATGCAACCACCTCTGGCGCAATGGTTCTTAGCGATGACAAGTGGCTTCCGTAGATTATATGTGGTCTAAGACAGAATGAACACGAGACTGTAGTCAAGTTTTTCATCTTATAGCTCAATATCTATCTTCGATATTGCTTCATCTGAATAACAATCCTATCTTTTTCTAGAATGGACTTCTTATCATCTATTTGGGATTGGGTATGTGGGTGCGTCAGTAAGGTATGGTCTTGGCTCAGAGACATTTGGGATGAAGTTACAGCAGACGTGGAAGCTGCTTGGGACACTCTGTGGTCTAAATCAACATCGGCAAAGGAATATTTCGCATTAAGGCGTGCGCAACTTAAACTAGAGAAAAGAATTCAACGTTTACGGGGCTCAATGAGTTCCCAAGAACAAGACGATGTGGATTCACTTCTTGACAAGATGAAAAACAGATAATGCTTAAAGAAAAAAAAACAAATGGCAGCAGATTTCTATGAAGAACTAAACTACAAGAGAGTCGCATTAAATTGATTTTATCTGCTCTTCTTTAATCTTCAGTTGATTTATTCTTTAGTAATTTTTGTAACACTTGTGATTTGTGTATTATTACTCTCTTGATCCTTCCATTGTATCTTTGTAACATCGAAACACGTTTACAAGGAAATGAGAACCTACAAAAGGAGTGGGTCTTGATGAGGGTGGAAGCGTGGGTATCGATGTGGCTGCGCACGTCAATGTCAGTGGAAGCAGAAGCCGGCAAGTGTGTGGGTGTTGATAGTGCTTTCACGGATCCTCGCATTCTAGGTGGACTGAACGATAGCCAAAGTAAGCGAGGAACTCATGAAAATATAATGCCTTTTGAGACAAAGTTCGAAGAACAAGGAGTGTTCAATCAATTCGAGGCATCTTCTAACGTTCGCTTTAACAATTGTATAACTAGTATACAAAACTAAATAATTTGCAAAGTACTCGATGCACTATTACTGTTTTACAGTTTTTTCCCGTTTATGGCCTCATTGGATATAGCATGAAGAAATAAGACGAGGATCTTGTGTGTGCTTTTCCATTGGTAGTACCATGCATCTTTCTTTGTTTATTTTATGCTTGGAGACCACTTTCATATTGCATCCTGACACGTATCTCATATGAAATTCGTTTTCTTATTCTTTTACTGTGTTTTTTTTTTCATTCGCTTTGCTTGGGATCAGGCTCTCTGTTTGTGCTTTAGGGTATTTATGATTGAGAAAAACATCATATCATCGTTCCTGTTTCATGCATACCTGTCATATGGATATCTCCTAGGCATGTAATTCTGATATGTTCCGTCTAGGTTTTGTTGGATTCCTATCGATTAGACCGTTGCTACAGGGTGAACCAAAAGTCTTGGTATCTCAGAAAAATTGTTCGTTCTCCCTTATAGTAAACTTCAAAATGCTCAAAGTTTAGTATGTTATTCCCTGTAACATGGAAAATATTACCCTAAAATTTCTACTCTCTCTCCTGACAAATTAGGAAGATGTATAGACTAATATTCTTGAAATTTTATTTTCTGCATGTCCAAAAAATACAAGTTGGCATATAATAAATGGGCCACTTTTGCATTTCATGTTTCCATCACTTCATACGTTTTATTAAGAAAACAACATACACTACAAGATACAGTGTGAAAAGCTCTACACTGTACATAATAAAGTATATATGAATTATATAGTTTTTCGTTCCATAAAAAAGCAAAACTCTATGCGAACGATGCTCGTCGTCGTAATAGAAATTGTTTTTTCTAAACAAAGGAAAGATTCGTTTGTTTCATCGTTTTTTTTTCACCTAATAAATTTCACTAAGAAAAAGCAAATTATTTCACAGCATGCAGCGTCGAAGGCTCTACAATTAGCAAAGTACAACATATTTTAATTACGTAATTGTTATTTTCAAAAAAAAAATGCAAAACTCTGTACAAGTCCCTTGAATATTGATCGCACAAAGTGTTGCTTTTTCTTGAAAACAACGATTACATAATTGAAATGTGTTGTATTCTATGGATTGTAGAGCTTTTCACGCTGCATCTTGTGGTGTATTTTGTTTTCTTAATACAACGTATCAAGTGGTAGAAAACCGAAATGTGAAGACAGTCCTTTTACATGTATTTTGTTGCAAATATTATTTTTGGGATATAGAGGAAGTAAGATTTCAAGAATGTTAGTCTAAACATCTCCCTTATTTGCCAGGATAGAGAGCTGAAAATTCAGGATAATATTTCCCATGTTCCAAGGAATAACATACTAAACTTGGAGCATTTTGAAGTTTACTATAAGGGAGAACGAACAATTTTTCGGAGAGGTACCAAGACTTTTGAATTACTCTGTAAGAGCTTGTGTTGGTTGTATGTTGAATATGTGGTAGTGACCGATTGTGGATTTCCATCTTTCGTTTTAGGCTCAGAGTTTAGCTGGCTTTTCTGTAATGATCCCATAGCGTTGTTTTTGTAGTCATTCTTTGTGATACATTCATTTGCATATTGGTTCCGTTGTGGTACACGAGGAGAAGTTGGCGTTACTAACAGCTACCCCCACACCTATTCCTACATCGAAAACAGTCTTGAGAATATTTTCTATATATTGCCAGAGATTCAAAAGATTCTTCACTTCATTGAAATAAGTGCTCTTCACACAACAATTTCGATGATATCTCGCTCAGAGTTTTTTTTCGAAAAGACGTGGAGAGATCCTTTAGCACGGTTAAAATCATTCGACAGTTGCTCTTCTTTCTTTGTTGTGATGTAAGCTTATTTGTGATGGTCATGTTTGAGATCTGACTCGAGCAAATATTGCGCAAAATAGTTCCAGTTTTTCAACAAAATCTTTCCTCAGTGATGTGTTTTCGTTCGTTCCATAATTCATACTGTTTAACTAAGAAAATAGACAAGAGTTGAGCTAGCGTTTTTCTAATCGCTATGCGTTATAGCTGTTCTAAAATTGCAGATATTTATATGTATACGGTTTCTTGTTGTCTGGAGTATAAGAAAGCGCTCATTATAACAGAGATAGGACGAAAGTAGTTGTACTTGTACTTTTTCTACTAATGCAAGTATAAAGTGTAAGTACGAGTATTCATGAAATGAACTTGTACTTATACTTGTATCTTGAGATGGATACTTCTAAACTTATGCTTAAGCGAAAAAAAAGTGTACCTAGTTTCAGATAGAAAAAAGTATCATGTTTGGTTGCGATTCTAGTATTTATTCAAAGCATGAAGGTAGCTATCATGACTGTTAATGAGTCTTCCTGTTGTGACAGGAAACTAGTACATGTTGCTTGTTTACATTTCGAACAGGATCCCGTATATTATTTCTACTCTCATGTGTATGTTTTTTTTTCAACTGATTTAATTCCAATTATGTCAAACGGCATTTTCAAATATGTTTTCACAATTAAGTAACATTTCAAAATCAACAATATTTTTTAAAAACGTGATCAAAACACGTATCGATAAAAATGGTCGATAGTAAAGAAATAGATGTTCATGTAAAAATGAAATCTACAAATCGATTAAAATCAAACGACAGCTTCTTTTAAAACTCTAATTATGGAATCAAGTTTTGATTTACACGTAAAAATACCAAACTTCTGAATACTTCTTCGAGCATAGTTGTTCTTCGCGGTGACATGATGGCACCTGCTTGACTAAACACTCTTTCAATGGGCGCGGATGATGCTTGTACGGAAAATATTCGTTTGACTATATTCTTCAAAGAAGACAACGAGGAATTTTTCCAGTATGATGAAAATTTGAACCTTGTTGGGTCATTGATATATGCATTAATCTCTTGTATGGGATTGCTTGTTGAATTAATAGATAAACTTGAGTCGTCATCGTAATGGAAAAGTTTTCGTTTTTTCATGATAGGAATGCTAATCGGTGTTGTGTCATAACTGTTTGCGGCGACTTCTGAAGATAATGAGGACTGTATATGTGCGATATTATCGAATGATGTTCCAATACTATGCTCACACTCATTCAAGATCATCTGAATAAGTAGCTGTTTCATGTGTGATTCCACTGTCGGCTTGTACTTCATTTGACTGAGCCAATAAAATTTGAATTCGGGATCCAGTACTGCACAAACGAAATAGATCGGATCCGAAAAAGGATCGTTCGCATCAATACTTTGTTGTGATAAACGCTTAACAATACCGGCAAATCTTTTACCAATAGAATCTTCCAGTCGTATACACATCTTTTTCAAAAATGATAAATGTGGCTTGATATTATTCACATGATCGATGATATGTACCACTGAGGGTACGACAAGACTAGCCGTCACAATGGATTCGGATTGAATACGTGTAGTTATTTCAGCAAATGGCTCTAATATATCAACTGCCTCCTGTAGTATAGTAAAATCATTGTTATGAAATTTCAGTTCATTATCATCAATAATGTCTGTAATTTCATCAACCGTTTTTTTTCCTAATCCAATAATTGATTTAATCAGTAGATATTCCGAATTCCAGCGTGTCAGATTGGAGCGATTTATTGTTTTTCCAATATCATCAAGAAGATCAACTATTTTAGTAGACTTAGAAGATCGCTGCGCCAACTTGTTACATTTTAACAATGATCTCGATAAGTATGGAGTATCTTTTAATCCATCTCGAACAGCCAACTGTAGACTATGTGCAAAGCAAGGCAATCTTATTGAAGAAACATCTTCACCATTCTCAATCAAGTCTTTGTCGTTTTCACACCAATTAGCCAATCTCCATTCATTTAACGTATACAAGTCGTCATCATCAAGAAATTTAATTGAACTATCATTTTGTTGTAATTTGTTGGCATCTGGACTAGTATCATCATCATCGTTCACGTTTAAACCAAACTTATACGCTTTTATCATGGAAGCAGCATTATCAGTTATAATTCGATACACTTTGTGTCTGATCTATCAGAAAAGAAATTCACTTGTATGGCAACTTTAGCATCGAATTAGACTTTATTTTTCATCTTGTTGTATTGAAATCTATTCAAGAATCAATTTCCTATTTCATACGAGTTGACTCAATAGTATGGATTACTCAAATCATTTCGGAAAGATTGATAACATCAGCGAAGAATTCTCAAGAAAGCAAAGAAATGTCCTAGATAGTTCTCTGAGTGAATCCCTGAGTAGTACTCGGGAATTCTCTCAACCTATTGAGAATTAATACAGGAAGTTATTGCTTACCTTCAGATTTTCGAGTATTTCTCTTGTGACAAGGCGAATATTTTCTCCAGTATGTGGCCCTTTTAAACGCGAAAAATCTAGAAGTAGAGCTTGTGGTATATAATTTAAATCAAGGAAGTGACCAGTAACACCAATAAATGATCGTCCACGTCGGTCTATCCAGACATCTACTGTAATGCTTAAGTGATCGATACTATCAAGTAACTTTCTTATTTTCTCTTGACTATTATTCATCAATGATGGCAATAGTGTTTTGGTGAAGTATCGTGAAGATGTAGGCTTCCATTTTGGTGCAACTGCTTTTAAAAAATTCCTAAAACCAGTATGTTCGACCAATGTTGGTGGTAAATTACATTTCACAATTAATTCTTTCAGAATTGTTTGATTGATTTTGATAACGTTGTCTTCGAAGTTTTCTGAATAATCATACGTGTCGTTCTTAGGTACAAATGAATCGGGATATTTTAATTTGTCGTATTCACTCATGTGTTTACGTTTCATATGCTTATGGAAATTTCCCGTTGATCCAGCATTATCGGAATAAAGTTTTCCACAAAGTTTACATTCACCAGAAATTTTCTTACCATTGGAACAAGTGAAGACGAAAAACTCTCGGAGCACGTTCATAATGAGAAGTAAATCTGATTCAAACTAATATAAAATAGAATATCACTTGGCGATAAAGTACGACAACACCATTGCTTGATTTTACAAAATCTAATAAAGAAAAAGAATGGAAGGGACCACACTTTTGTTGAATACTTCTTGACAGAAAAAGAGTACATTTCAATTCGTTTGTCTGTGAGTTATATGTCTATATATACATATGATAGTATCATCTGATAAGTAGCGTAACGTGCTCTAATATATGTATTTGTAACAAGAAATTACAAAGAAAGGTTATCAGTATCTGACATATGCGTACATTGACAAGGTGAGTGAAGTACTACATACAGAAAAGAAAAAAGTGATGATTTTAAAGGAATATGAAAGATTTTTGTGAAAAATATTGTTGTTCATATAAATGTATTCGTCTCGTGTTGTTTATGTCTTATTATTATTTTGTCTTTCCGGTCAATATTTGAAAACGTCTATGGGCTATTCATGGACGCATCAGTATTAAAATCACTAGGCACTTGTAGAGATCCAGGCTCTCGGTTCACATCCATGTTTTTTGATGTTATGAAGAAGGATATAAGATCATAGTTTTTGGTCGAACTGATGTAGCGTCCATGTTCTAATACGTATTATAATGTCGAAGAAACTCGAGTCATAGAAAGAGATACTTTCTTCGAGTGACCTGTAGTAAATTTATCAGCATATCAGAGTAAAAGCTCTCATGAAGATATTCTATCTATTCTTTACTCTTTTGCCAAATGATGTCACGATACACTTGATAACTTATTCAGTGTGATTAACCCTAGTGAAGCAGTTCATTTTTCCTATACCTCAAGTAAAAGCACCAAGTACTTTATTCATACTTAAGTACAAGTACAACTAGAAGAGTAAGTATACTTGTATAAGATCAAGTTAAAGTATAAGTACATTTTCTGAAGTACAAGTAAAATACTTCTACTTCTAATACTTCTATTCATCCTAGCTCTGTATTAAAGCTATTGAAACAAAGAGCACTAATTACTTCAAAATATTTCTCAGTTTCAACAGCCATTCTGATTATGCATACTCAGTATAATAGTAACATTTGATTGAAAATGGATGCCTATTCTTTTCATAACCTCATTATACTTAAATATTTCAACACTAAATTACTTTACAACATAAAGAAAATGTTATACACTCATTCGAAAAGGTAAATAGTGGGCGATTGTTAAAGTATGTCTAGGAAACCATCGAAAAGTTTATTTCCTCCAGAAGAATACAAACATTTTCATATTTAGAAGTCTTTCCAACAAAACTCAAATAGAATACATCATTCCTTCTTACCATGTGACAACTGATAAAGTGTCCTATGAGCGAAGCTGCTTAGATGTGTTTCGAGCCGGAGGCGATAAGGCAAAAGAGACAAGCACTTAGATAACGTAAAATTTATTTTTTTTTCAAAAGGTGACCGACTCGTTTTATTAAGCAAGAATGCTTGTTGTGTCTATCATCTTAAAGTACACCTTTCAAGCTTCTAAATGATGAACTGGATTGTTTAGGATTCTATTAGTGTTTATTATTTCCAGACACACATATTTATGATAATTGAGAGATATGTGTGAACCCTTAATGACAACAAAAAGATATAAAAGTCGTATTCAGAATTCTAAAATGATTTTCGGAGGCTGTTCTTAACATATCAGATCGCGGAGTCATATTCAAGATGATATGGTACTAAAAGGCATTCTTTTTTTTAGTCTCGATGCTTTTCTGAATGAAATTTAAACTTTACAATGTTTATCGTTGTTTTATAAAATATATGTCTCTGGGTATTAAAACTATACTTTCAACATCAATTCTCGAGCATACGATGTAATGGTTCTTTATTGGCACGTAAAATATATGACTATCAATTGCCAAGCTCTCATATTCTAATGTTTGCTTCAGTCAAATGCCATAGTTTTTCTCATCACTTATGAACAATAATCGGTAGCTGTGTGAATGTGGGTTGGGCCGGTGATCGAGAATCATTCTTAGAGAGAGTTGCAATATGGCATAACAGTTCATAGTATATTAAGCAGACACAAAGAAATAATGACTCAAAAATACTCTGATACAAGCTATTTCGGTGAAAACAATATGTACCCTGAGGATCTTTTATGGTTTTTTTTTTCATCTACTTTCATATATTGTCTTCCTTATAATGAAAAAAACCCCAATGAATAATAAACAGCTTGAGAATCAGTCCAAGCCCTCATCATATAGCTTCGAGGAAAGTCATGGCTGATACTTTTGTTGGGCTAAATGTTTAGCATTTTAAGGCACATATTGGAATAAATTTCCCACTAATGAACAAGACAGCATCAAATGAATGAAACAAGAAAGATGTTACCCATGAACAACATTTACTACGGAGGGAGGAGCCCAAACTGTTCCCTCGAGGTTGAGCTCTTGTTTTGCTTACACGTAGCGAAATATCTTGGTCAGTGGGATGCTCCAAAAACTGCAACCAAAATCGATGCTCTATATTTAACATATCAGATGCTTACAAAATAGTTCTGTGTGAAATATGGACTAGAATATCGAATAGTGTTGAAAATTTAGTATCTCATGCATAAAGAATCCGTTTTGATCGAGATTATCACGAAAAGTCTCTTATTTATTGATTTTATCGGGCTATTTCAATTGCTTTAGGACATTATAATGGCCATAGCATCTCATTACGGATAAAACTTAAGTTGAAGCATGACCTTTCCATTTTTCGATGAATGCCTAACCCAAAGTCGAAAATCCAGTCGAAGAGTCACAGGTTGGCTTCACCAGCTTATGACAACGGGTCCTTTCAGGCTTTAGCTAGTGACGTTGAGGCCTACTCGTGGACAAACCATGAGCTCAAAATGGATGGAGCAGTTCGGTTAGGACCCTCGTAAGATGAAAGAACAACAAAAGAAAATCATCTTGAGCAACTAAAAGTTAGAGAACTTCGATAGAGAAACAGAGCCCATTAACAGCGAAAACTATCTTCAATAATATAGCAAGCTGACATTGAAAATAGATGGAAAAAAATTACATGTTGATGCGGAACTCAATTGACAAATAAAATATGAGCCATTTCATGGTAGCCGCAAGCTATGCAGAGAAGCTGCTAAAACTAAGTGTTCAGATTTTGCTCAAACTAGGATATTTTTATAGACGAAAGAGTTTTATGAGCTTTGATAGAAGCCGTTTAGAAAAAATATAGAACTGTGGATTGTGTTATGACCGTTTTACGAAAAGCGCTAAAACTCATCACTTCAG